CCTTTCCAATAACGCTTGAAGATACCATTACTGAAACATCAATTCAAACAATTCATTTACAGTGTGCGTATAGTTTCATCGATTATGAGACTTTGTAAGCTTTTTCTTATTATTACGACTGTAGTAAAAATTGATAACATCGATAAAAGCTTGCAATTGTAATGAAGAATTTCCACTTACAACGACCAAAAAGACACCAAATACAAGGTGAAGGTAGGACTTTCCAAATGTCATTTTCATTGATATGGTAGGTCATTCCATTTAAATATCAGTAATGATGAAAGCCTAAAAGATTTTGTTAGATGAACATATTTGCAAGAGTGTAAACTATTCCCGTTAATGACAAGAAATGAAGAGGCTAAAAGCGTTACATGCCAAGTATACTGATATTATTGGATTTTACTTCTTATAAGATAACAGTAAGAGGGTAAGAGATTCAGCTTTTGATATCAATTGCAATTAAAGTGTAAAACATGATGGGGATGGGTATCCGCTTGACCTAAGTGCAGCATTTAACATCCATCAATGAAAATAGAAATAACAGTTATAGAAAGACTGCTTACAAGGTAGCTGTAATACTTAGTAGTGGAATTACGTATAAATCGGACAAAATAGATTTTGTGCTTGAATCATACAATTTGTATCAGTGTTATTCAGTGCTGTACCTCTCCATGAAGGAAAAAAATTCATTTAAGACTGTTTACCGAATAGGTTTGCCATTTAATAGAAAACAGAATGTAAAATTCATCAAGCAAAAGCTGGTAGTGCCGCGGACGTAAAACATCTTTTATAACAAACAAACAACAAACATTAAAAGTGCAAATGAACTGTAAATAAAAGTCTTTAAAAAATCAAATACAAATTATGAAATGTCGCATGCACCTACATCATGTCCATATAGTAGAAGTCCATAAAACACAACCAGTATCAGGTTTGAGAGGGACGATTCTATGACTAACTTCATCAGACAAATGGCTAGTGTGGAGCGCATTAGAGACCTTGTTATTCTTGATCTCATTTCTAAAATGTAGGATGAAATCTTGTTTTCTGTGTCTATAAATAGTTGACCACGTGATCAATTATCTAGATAACACAATATATGGATTGAGAATACATTTGTTTGAGTGATTGAGTGATCAGTACTAAGAAAATAATATGAAATAGGACTAAAGAAGGACTAATGTAATGTAATGTAATGTATTACGTAAGTTATCATCGTTTACCGCAGGACAGGTGTCTTGAGATGACATATTCTATATTTGGATCTATGCGTCCTAAACACACGCAATTTTGATCTCTTGAGTCACCTCGACAACCAACTAACTACGCTGAAATACAAATATTATTTATATTGAACGATTTTGTGCATCCTGTTAACTATGGACAATTAGTAGAATACACATAAATGTTTGGGTTTGGTTTTGCATTTGATTGTCATGTCATTGCTCGCTACCATGTATATTTTTGTTTTTATTATTGTTTTGTGGGCGTGGTTCCTTGACCTCAATATTCTGTGTTGGTGAAGTGACTGTGATCATCTCCTTGACAACCGATTGTATACATATCCTAAAAATAATCAACCAATGCAAGAACTTTAACGCATAAACTTGAATTTGAGTACGTCTATCAGCTGCCTTCGTATAAACAAAAACAAGGAAATACCTACTTATATTATACTAGGGCACAATATGAACAAAAGAAATATTAACGCGGATAATTCTGAAAGCGCAGAAGGAGAATAAGACCAGGTGCTCCGGAAGAGTAAGCGTTTTTTGCTTTATCGAGAACATTCGCCATATTAATCTCGGTCAATGCGATTAATAAATATTATCACAGCCTTGGAACCTTTATCTTCTGAAAACAAGATTGTTGAAGAAGTCACACACTCACAGATTAGATTGTGATGAATAAAGATAGAGCCGAAAGATACTCCAATTTTGACCTAGAAATGTCATTATCTACAATTTTTGTCTAAATATCTGATTCTATGACAAAAAAGGCATATGAAGTTCGTTCCCATTTCATATGTGATGAATATACCGTGTCCTTATCTACCCTGGATGTTAATATGACTCTTAACAGCTTTCCCTAATATCATTGAAAAGTGTCCATTTAAGTCGTATATTCGAAATTTCGCATTGCATTCCCTTTGAAGGTGATTTCAGTTCTGTCCTCATATCTCATTCTAAACTGAAAAAAAAAATTCATTCTCTTGTTACGAGAGCATTTTTTTCTCCAAGAAAGGTGAACGGAATTACAAATGTGTGACAGTGGACTATGCTAAAGCATATTTCGGTCAAAATAAAAAAAACATGGACGGAAGATGAAATAAAAATAAATGACAGAGTTTCTTGTCAACATCTCCGTCGAGTATGTTGATAAAATTTTCCTGCAGAATATTTGTATACCTATCGGAAAGTACTTTGTCTCTCTTTTGACCTACTTGTTCTTGTTTTCATTGGAGGAGGAGATTATCGCAGAGCTTATCGAAACAGTTAACAAAAGACCTTGCAAAGTCTTTCAATTAATTTAACTTACAGATGCATATTTACAATGATAATATTTTGTCTTAGAATAACAAAGAGGTTTATTGACCAAGTCCATCATACACGAAAGATACTCCGCCACCAACCGCTTATCTTGATATGTTCTTACAAATAAACCAGAGTTGACCGCTTTCCCTAAAATCTTATGATAAGCGTAATTATTTCAATTTTCTCCATTTCTGGATAGCAACAGCACTGTATATCCACCAAATTCTGGCAACTGACACATAAACTCACATCAAAAGGTTTCAAAAGATGCTAGTTGATGTAACAAAAGTTGAGGAAAAGCCTTCAGGTCGCCATAGTCATCTCATTAAGAAATGACCTATTTCTTTTGTGCGAAGTTTGCCTGTTCATTCTGTTGCTGGCAACCTTGTTGTCATGTTAGATTGTAACATTAACTGACCAAGATTTACATGACGGGTGTCGGCGATGAAGCAGAAAACGCTTCCTCTCCGGAAAACCTGGTCTTATTTCCTATGTACTTTTCCAGGAGTATTTGTGTAAACCCTTTTTTTTTCATAGTTTGCCCTATTTTTGTTGAATATGAGTTCGGATTATGATCATGTTGACATGTTGGTATTTTCTTGTCATTTCTCCATACAAACTTGGTACTGTGTACATTTCATCAAAATTTTTAGCCATCATTAATCTTCCCTTTCAATTGTTTTTTTCAGAATTCTTCCAACCCTGTAATTTGTTACGTGACCACTTATAAAAGAGTCGACAAGAACAGCTTAATAGCAGGGTTGACTGCCATACCACTACTGGCACGAGCCACCATGGTGATGGATGGTGGAAGCGTATACGACGCTGTGACTTTCTAATGGTACATTAACGTTTTATACGTGGGACAAAACATTCTGCAAAGCTGAGATCACAACAGCATTACTGAAATCAAACAAAAAGATGATACGCGTGCATGAACAATATTTTTGCAATGATTTTACAATACGACAAAGTATGTATATCTACTTCCAACTCATTACCAATGAACTATTGTAACCTTTTTAGAAGGCTTCCGCAGACAATTGTTGGCCAGCATTTTTATGAAACACGACAGTTTGTCCAGTACTACCAGAAGCATCATCCAAATCTTTAAACTTGTGTAGAAATACACAGAGCCCGTATCGCTGGATCTTAATGGAAACGACATGTTCGTTTTGTTTGTTTTCCGATGAAACAATGTTACGAGAGTCGATATGGTATCAAAAGAAAACGTTTCTTTAGAAATGATGAATCATGGAAATCATTGTTTTTATAAGTGGTAAAAATCTTATTGCGAAATTGAAAACTTAATTTCATTCTGAAACAAACGCTATTATTTGTTGTCGTTTTAGGTATTTTTCAATCAGTGTTAACTGCAATTGGTTCAATTCGAATTAAACTAAACAAAAAACAGCATATGAATAATTATAGTGCGCCTGACTTCCCGGAGCCATGACCGAAAGATTCCACTTCAGATAAAAGTAACATCGATAGATTTTACTCCTGCAGTTTACTACTACAGAACGACGACTGTAACAAACAAACAATATCAGTCATGTATCCACGTCGTATAGATGTTTGCCTGTATATTGGATAAGGATACTAAGTCAGTTTCATATTTTTGTTTATCTATTGGATTGTAAGGCTAATCTGCTGTTTATGATTGACTTAATAACTGCAATACTCCTCCACAGACATACAAGCGCATGAATGGTATGACACATGCAGTTAAAATTTTAAAATGCATCTGACAAAGGTAAAAACATCAAAATGACAACGAAAAACATTTTTCATTAACGACTAAATCCGGATAGCTTTATTTCGTTCATGTAAATTGTGTTTCATATCATACTACCAATGTTTTAAGCGCGATGCGTACACACAAGCACGTGACTTTTTGAACCTGACTGGCTAATAGATAGAAATCTATACAAACACTTTTCTATCAAAACTCCCTAGTGATGTGTTTGTTGACACACACGCGAACAGCTCAACACCGCATCATGGATGTGTAGCCGTATTTCAATTAATGGAACATAAATTATCGACAGCAGCATTAAAACCTTGATGTGGATGTCGCGTTACCGAAAGGCTGCCCTTAGTATTCTGTCTTTCCGATCAGTTATTGTAGAATGAATTCCCCACTAATGTCGTGTTTGATTAACCTTGACGGGAGGTCTTGTCTCCCATGCTAAGATATGCCCTTAACGGATTAACCGGTGAAAGGTGTCTACAGAATTGCTTTCTTCACGTCAATAACTAGCTATTTCGATTGTGTTGAATTGGATATGATCATCGATAAAAGACCCGATTATCTATTGCAACGCAGTGGACCTTTGCACTAGATAAAAACGACACCTATATGTGATCTGTCAATGCAAGTTTAGACCTGCAAAAAGCAAGTTAAATCAACGAACAATTGATGCTTAGAAAAGAGACATCAGTCTCCTCACATATCGTATATAAATGTCAGGTTGTAGCATAGAGAGACCAATGCATCAGCCGAATGCTTTCCTTAATATAAACGGCGATCCTGTCGTTATTAATATAAGCGGAACAGTGTATCACCTCAAACGGGGAACATTCCGTCGTCTTCCGCCTTCTTGCTTGGAAAAAGCCATAAAGATAGACAGTGGCGTTCATGAAGAGTATTACATCGAGGGCCATGCTCAGTGCTTTAGTGCCATTTTGTGGTATTTCACACATGGGGAACTCCACATGCCTACTTCAGTGTGTCCGGCTGTCTTCAGCAGGGAATTACAGTTCTGGAAAATTGATCCTAAAAGGTTATCTCGTTGTTGTAATATGAGGTTTATATCCTTCTTCTCGGATCAGGCATTGCTTAAGTCGATGGAAGAAGTGGAAACAAAAAACGCCCTTATAGACAAAGGCATTCATCTTAGTAACACAAAATGGGAAAGGTTCAGAAAGAAAGTATGGGACATCTTAGACGATCCGACATCTTCTACAACAGCAAAGGTATGTCCGTACTCATTTGTTTCTTTAATATTATTTTTAAACAAGTCTAATTACTCGTTTTGGAACAGTGAGGACTTTGGGAGGTTTCTTTTTATACTTAAAGAAATTATTGCATTGTATTGTTTATAAAATGGTTTGTTCGTTTTCTTCCTGACGAAAAAAAAAACTTAAATTGAAATTTATCGTTTTCATTTGGTAGCTGAACATCGCTTGTGCAGCCAAAGCATAAGGATAAATTCAATTACAGAATACAACTGTGATAAATATGAATTTTTGGGGAAAATATTTTTCAATCAAGCTTTTTCTTTTTAACCTAAGACAATCATCTATCCTGATTGTAAACTTGGTAAATAGCTCTCTTTCAAGTTAGATGCAAAACCGACGTTTGCTTTTAATTTCTGTCTGGTCAGTAACTTGATTTTTCGATTGTGTAAGGAATTTACGGTCTGTGAAATCGATAGCTTTAAGCGAGGGAAGGAAAGTGTCAATGCAGCATTCTATTGTAAATAAATTCTGTAATGATGGAAATAAAGCGAAAGTATGTTCCTGTATATCATATATATCATATAAATAATCTAAGGGCTAAAAGCTGGCTCAGACATTTTGGTATTACTACAGTAGTAACTTTCAACTCTGATGTTCATTCAGCAAAGATTCTATTAAAAGCTTTCTGACATGTTTCCGATACACATATATCTACGATCACTATATTGAATGATTTGAAACAAAATCAAAAATATAACATTGCCATCATAAGTATAAATCATGCGAGTTTTCTCATTAAACCGTGTTTTCCAAAGACCGGATGTAGCTAGGGCTGACAAATAATCGCGAAGTCCTGATGAAAAAGGCAGCGTTACTAACGTACCCGTCTTTTACAAATATGACAGCTGCCTTTCCAAGTCGAAAGAAATCGTGGAAACTGGGTGAACAAGTGAAAGGTCGAAATATATAAACACTTGAAAGGGTAACGTGGAATATGAGGTATGGTTGCGATTGCAGCCCAGCAGACCGTAAGCTCACCCATTGCTTAATGTACAAAGACTCACAAGTTAATGCCAAAGCCAAATAATGTGTTTAACTGCATCATACAAATGATTCGTTCTTAAAGGACTTGTCTTCAAGGACAGAAGGAGATGCTAACGGCATACATTTTGGAACCTAGGAGGCAAGTGAGGAAAATCCATTGATCAAACGAAATCTGCAAATCTTGACAGGGAGGTGCACTTAATTCATGGTTCAATAAATTTTGTTATTTCAAAATATCTGATAATTTCACGGAAGCATCAAGTCTCTTTGTAATTTTTGACAAATAATTTCTGAGATATGATCATATCAGGTTGAAATATTGCCGGGTACCATTCCCAAAACATCAAAAGCAAGATCGATCTCTAGTATGAATACATTTCTAGATAGTAAAATCATTGTCCACAGCGCCTATAGTGTTACATGCTGCTCCTGATACGATATTCCAGGACTTCTTCCAAATAAAACAATTTTTGTGATGAATATCAACAGATATAGTAGATATGCATACAGGACATCGATATACAATTTGACAAAAACTATTGAAGAAATTGTATGGTCGCCTTCATGATTCATGTTCCATTTACTCTTGCGATATGAAGATAGCAGTGATCGATGCCCGCTGACTTCGTTTTGAGTGACTCGGTTCTCAATTAATGAACATGACATAAACTGAAATTACATATTTGTACATAGTGAGTGATGTTGATGCAAGAGAATACGTCTAGTTTTTAATCATATTTCAAGGATGAATCAGAAGAAAACCTTTTTTTTTTATTCTTTCGTGATCCATGCTTATAAGACTACATGATACCATAGAAAGTCCTATTTTCTACTAAGTCAATTAGTGTTTCTCATAGAATTAATCTCACTCTGTCAGTAATTGCTAATGATTGCATCCTAAAGCTTATGTCTGGTACGGTTACTTTTGTACCCGAACGCGTCCTAAATCACACTTAAAACATCTTGAAATAAATTACAGGTAGTGTCAGAAGAATACATGAAAAGTGTTTCAAAATTAGCGGAATTTCTCGTTATTTTATAGAAAACGCGCTATTCGTCTGAAGACGATATCAATCCATTCCAAATTCACCCTAGGGATTTTGCCAGAAACATTCCACTACATCGCATCGAATGCACCCCCAAAAAGCCGTCATTATCCGGCTGACAATGCAATGAAAACGTCGAAGACTGATGTACTGATGCTAATTATAGAAAACAGTCTTTTCTTTAAGCACTATGTACTCAAACATGTACTTAAATCATTTCTTTTCATTATTCGAGTCTTGGTGGATCTTATCTAGGAGGCCAAGAAAGCCTTATACATGATTGATGGCTTTCCCTCAGTACTTTTAGACGTCATCTTTCAATGAAAGCGAGGCTGACAGTCTGGCCCGGGGTTCGCTTGCGTGTCAATATATAATGCGTGTACAAGCTCCTGGCGAAAGCTGTCTGATCGTAAATATCAGACAGCTATGTAAAAGAATTTTTTGGCAGGCGCATTCTTTAATATGCATACATAACTGAATATTTCATGAAGTTTATATGCAAGAGATACCATTAATAACTACTCGACTTTGTGACATCGACAAACACGTGCCCGTAAACAACCGTATTTTCCTTGACATGGTTTATATGTACGTGTTAGTATTTTATTTTTGCTGACGTTCACCGTTTCCATTTTGAAAGTCTAAACATGACATGTCTTAACATATTTTTTTTCAGTATTTCATACTGGTCACATGTGACAGTTGCATTTGTTCAGCTTAACATGTTCGCACTGTCTCAGTTCTATCTATGTATATTTATTTTCTTATTTGTGACATATTCATTCAAATTAAAACTTTTGATGGCAATTTCATGCAGTTTCGACACAGAAATAATTATACCATTTTTAGGTCACGATACTTCAAGGTCATACATATTTTGAAGAACATTTTTCTTTTTTCTTTTTTTTGGCCGGGTTTGGGGGGGGGGGTATCTTATTTTTTATGAAAACTATCGTGCTTAATTTTTTTTCGTTGAAAAACATCATATCACGTTGCTTTCATCATATTCAAACGTATTGAAAGCAATAAGTTTGTTTATTGTTTATATACCCAATTGTGTCTGAGATGAATGACTTCTTGGATCACGTAGATGGGTCGGACCAACTTCTAAAATATAGTACAGATATATAATGGTTCATTATACATTTCAAAACGAGGCCCTTATTTGTTATGAATGGCAGATATAAGTCTCAATGACAGCAGTGAGTAAGATACTTTTCTTAAGATCTCAATTGTAATTAATGGCGGATGTAAGTTTCATTGACAGTAGTGATTAAGACAGTTTTCGTGGGATGTCATTTGTAAAGATAATGGAATACAAATGGTTGTACGATTCAATTTATTCATCAAATTCAGTTCAGAAAAAAAAATTATTCAAACATTGTAATTTCTGCCTCAAGGCGCCGAATCTTTATCGCTTTGTAGCGAATGCAGTGACTATTTTGTTCCCTGTGTTTACCTCGCACTTCGTTGTCTATAGTAAAATGCTGCTTGGTTTTATGCTTGGTCAGTTCCTTTTCATCGGATCAACAGATATTTTTCGTCTGCGTGCACATTTACGATTTTCAGTAACACTCGGTCCCATGCCTCATCTGTTTATTCAGAATTTGGGAAATGAAAAAGAAAAAAAAAAAAAAAAATCACGTGACCATTTTTCGTTATCGTTCATGTTCACGATATCATTCATTATTTTTAGTTTTCGTTCTTTTTGACATAATTTTTTTTCTTCTGTACTCCTGACTTATTCAGTATTGCACTTTTACCTTTGGCGCCGATTTCATTCCCACCATTTTCTTTGATTTAATATGTCGTGTTAGGTACAGAAATAACAATAAATCTTGGCGCCACGGCTTATCAAGCTCCACAAGGCTATAGTAAAATCTTGCTTAATCTATACCCTAGTTGGTATAAAAAAAAAGCCAAGCGTGTATGATTTTAGCAATGTTGTCTAAATGGCAGCGTTCAGTATCAGTTGGAATGGCATACGTTCATTGGTGTTGTCTGCAGAAGCAGAAAATAAACGCATGAAATGGTTTCCATGAACAAATGTCGATTAACTTACACGTGCGGGTATCGATGAATTGATAGCAAGGAAAAAACGACTAATTTGATATAAACTTTGAAATAGACGACTGCGGGTTCTGTAATCCAAGCGACTCCTTGTCTCGGGAATTATACGGGGATCAAATTCTGCTTGGTGATGGAAAGGCTTCGTAATCAGCTAGGATGTCGCAGTTCACACGGAAAAATCTTCGCTATGGTTAAGTAACATTCGACAGAATATCTGAATACGGAATTAAATCTATACACAAGAGACGCCTGATGTGATGAGGGACAATCCCGTCAACCCTTTCAGAATGTTGCAGCGACTAGACAGGGATGATTTCTACGTGCTGTAATGAGGCATGGTCAGTGATTTGCGCCTGGACAATGTAAAATGTCGTAATGCATAGAGTAATTTGTTTTTAGTGTTTAGACCTAGCTATCTTAGAGCCTTATATTTATATACCTATAGTTTAGAACAATATTCCTGTCACGTTTAGCGATTTATACAGTACAATATATTTACATTTTACGACAATGTTACTATATCAACTAATTGAAAAGAAAACACAAATCACATAGACGCATTAATGTATGGATTCAAGATGGCGATGACCCATCTTCGGTGTTATTTGTATTTACTTTCCTTGATGGGGTTCTATTGAATACCACTGAGTATCCATCCTGCAAGTTCTCTCCCACTCAATAAGGTATGGTAACTGAATCGGGACATCGTAATATCGCTTCGTTTAATGGGAATCGAGATTGCGATATCACGATAGCACGATGCGATATCACGATGCGATACCACGATAGCGCGATGCGATGTCACGATATCACGATGCGATACCACGATATCGCATCGTGCTATCGTAGTATCGC